GTCTGTCTGTCTGTCTGTCTGTCTGTCTGTCTGTCTGTCTGTCTACGTTCTACCTCATGTTCGCGCACATGCTTTCGTCTCTCTCTACTGGTATATTATATTGTATTATAATTTAAATAAATAGAACACGAACTTATACACACGGACACGTGTTCAATACCAGTCTATTTTATTAACCGGGTTCCCTCTAGACGCCATGATAATATCAGTGAAACTCCAGCATTCTAACGTAATCTCTGTTGCACAACGAGCTTACCCGTAGATCAAAGGATATTATATTGACATTGGCCTTCGCTCTTATCCGCCTCAAGTTCCTAATCTACAAAACTAATCAGCCTTGATTTCAGACTCGTCAAATCGGTTAGAGAGTTTAGAGTTGTGCTTTGAACTTTACCAAAATAAAAAGGAGTCACCTAAACTGCTTTGTGATGATGACTACATACGAGTTCGATACACGTATCTGCTTTGGCGTCAGTATGACCTTTAACCTTTGATCCTTTTTTTTTCTTCTTCTGTATTCTCTCCATTTCAAAATGACACCAAACAAGGAGTTAAACGTATGTAAAAATACAAATGAAACGACATAGGTCGACAAACTGTGCGACTATATAGAGTAAGGCATTGCGTACAACACGTACGTGACTACAGCAAATCGCTGACCTCAAGGACAATGGGGGAATGCATTACCTACAACAGCAGTAACCATAACAGCTACAAGGATAACCACATGAAGTCAGAAGAAAACAACAACCGTAGTAGTGACAGCAAGAGCAATACTACACTCCTAAACATAAAAAAGCAACAAAGTAACAACCCCCCCCCAACCCCAATCAAACAAACAACCAACGACAACAACAAACAAACCCTAAGTACTACGTAACATACCCCCTCCCCCTGAAAAGATTAAAGAAAAAAATAACTTTCAATCATAATTTTAAGACTAAAAGGCCTATCAAAACAAAGAACAGCACATAAAAAAACACAACACAATAGACACAACAAAATAACGAATTAACTTACAAAACAGAACAAATCAGAAACTAAACAATAGTCGAGAATGACAAACAAACTAACAAACAAACAGGCAAACATACAAACAAACAAAAAACGAAACAAAACAAACTACCCCCACCCCCACCCCCACCCCCCCAAAAAAAAGAAAAAAAAAATCCCAGCAGAAAACGAAAAAAAAAATTAAAGAACAAAATAACACTACTCCACTACCAAGGGGAAAAAACCACGGCTCGCCATTCGGCAAAGGAAACTGATTCTATCCCAGCATCTGGATGACAGATGGGTAAATCTTTGTGTAGCGTTAAGTACAAAATCTTTGTGTAGCGTTAAGTACACTCCCGGCTATAAACATAACAATATGCTACGGGTGTTCAACATAACAGTGTTTCCTTTCATATTCTGATCCCAAGCTCAAGCATTTGCGTCCAGTCCATTTTGATGTAATGCAAGCTCTGTGAGAAAACTCGTAGGTTATAGAATTAAGATAAATGTTACTGAATGGGTTGTGCTATCGAAGCAACATTAGAACCTTTAAGTAATCCTCAAAGAGGAGGTGATTAAATTATTATTTATGAGAACAACATGGTTTATCTGATCGCACTGGTTTGTCTCATAGAGAACACCCTTACCCTCAGATTGAATAAATTAAGAATAACGGGTAAAGAACACACAGGCACACACACACACACACACACACACACACACACACACACAC